AAGGACTCTTGTATTAAAATAACTTTTCAAAGTTTTTATACAAAACATATACCAATGAAAAAAGATGAAACCCTCCCTTCTTCCTCCCTCAGGGAAACAGGAAGAAATTATGGCTTTCCAGCTCCTGGCTCCCACTCAGTAACGTTTTCGGGCTTTCTGGAGGACTGCTCATCCAGCTCTTTGTTGCAATGCTGAATTGCACCATCATCTTTATGTAAAAGATGATACATAGTCCTTATGTAACAAAAGAACTCCTTATTTTCAGTACTATGTCTACCACTACCAAAATGAAGGAAAGAGAGTGCAGCATTGGCACATACAAAAATTTCAAAGTAGGTCTAACACACAGGCTTAGTTTTCCCTCTTATTCCAGACCTTGCACAGACATACTGAAAAATCACTTTCTAAAATGCAGGCTGGGTGTCACTTGTACACAAAAGTGAAATTTAGATGGGGCAAATTTAGTTCAAGTAGGTGTTGCCTCTCTAAAATCTGGCTCATCCATACAGAGTTTACTAAAGCTTAGTTCTTTATTCTGACAGAGTTAGCTTTGTTTTACATTTTAGCATCTTAACATAGATGACGTAAAGCATCTCAAATTTCAATTCCAGAACATCCAGGTATGAAAATAAAAAAGTCTGTAAATGGAAAAATACGAGGAAACTGACAAAACTATCATAGTTTATTTCTAGTTTCCATGTTGGTTCTTCTTCAGCTCTCAGTTCACAGCTGGAGTTTCATTGCCACACACTGCCCAATCCCCCATCTCATCCCTCTCCCATTGAGGGAAAGAGTATTTTTGTTATCTTCTTTTGGCACGTTGGGTAGGCAGTATCATGGCAGCAGCTCTATTTTTTGACTAAACTCAGGGATGTCCTGCCTCCAATTCAATCGCTCAGGCTAAGGAATGCCTATCCAGGATACAGGAAATCCATGATGAATATTAACCATATTCCTTTGCCTGAACCTTTACCAGCCATGACTCTAACATCCATGCTCCACAATATCCAGGGCATGAATATAGGTGTGCAGTGCGCTCCTCACCTCCTGTTGGAGCAGTCCTACTTTGCTGTAATTAATTTTTTTTTACTGTATTTTCACTTTAATTAAACATTTTTTTAGCTCAGAGCGAGAGAAACTCAAGTATCACTGTCAAAATTAAAGCTCTTATCTGGGAATGGTGATAACCATTTGCTGCTCCACTTGCGTGTGACTTTAACACTTGGTATAAATGAAATATCATAGGTGACATAACCACCAAGGTGGAGGGTTTCTTACTCTGCTGCGCAGTGCAAAGGAGGAACTACGGCCCCTGCCTTCAGACAGGACAGGACGAGAGCATCCCACCTCTTAAGAAAAGGGCTAAAACATTCCACCAGCAAGTACAGGAGCCAGTCTCACACACTCCACACTCTCTTCCACTTTCTGGGCATGTTTAACTGCTGGATTTTAACATGGGAAGATCAACACTTCCCATGACACAGGTGCACACGGCAGGAGAGGGGAAAAGAGACACCTCTGGGTGTCTCTTACACAGCACCGCTGTTCCCAGCCGCCTGGGGATCCGCAGAGCCCCCAGGGAGCGGGGCTGTGGGGGTCCCGCTCTGAGCCCCGCCAGGAGCAGCCAGGCCTGAAAACCAAACCAGAGCCACGGCGGCCCGGAGGCCCAACACCCAGCCGGGGGCCTGGGGAGGCGACGCCGGGCCCGGCCGGCTCTGCTTTCCCTCACACACCAGCCCCCCGCTCCAGCCGCCGCCCGGGCCGCGCCTCACATCTCCTGCGGCGGCTGACCGGGAATGAGTGTCCGAAATGGCCAAGCCCGACCCTGGGTGCCCGCTCAGAGCTCTGCCAGAGCACCCCCTCAGAGCGCCGCCATCGCCCCCGCTTCTCCCGCACCGCCTCACTCACCCGCTGCGCCTTCTCCCAGACCTGGTTCAGCTTCACCACCCGGAACTCCCCGGCCTCCCGCCGCTTGCCGCCGGCGGCCGCCAAACCCTCGTTCGCCTCCCGGGAGTATTTGCTGGCCTGGGCGCCAGCGGCAAGGAGGAGCGCGGCACCAAGAGCCGCCAGAGCCCGCGGCGCCGCCATGTCGCGCTGGACGGGGAACTACAAATCCCAGAATGCCGTGCGGCCGGCCGCCCTCAGGCCCCCGGATATCCGCGTGCGACGTGCGCACCCTCGTCGGCGAGGGAAAGGAATGTTTATGTAGGAATATAGGGCTGAAAATCCGATTTAGGTCGAAAATCTGGTGTCTGGGCAGTGTGAGACGAATTAGGTTTGGGCTGTTCCTCTTCAAGTGACTCCGTGTCACCCTCCTCGGTGTTCGCCCCGCAGAATGTGGAAATACCCTGGATGTGGTGGTTTTTGTGAGCGGGGTTTTTTTGCAGCCTGTAGGGAGTTAAGCGAACCCTGTCCTGCAGTCAGTGTGGCCTTCAGCGAGGTGTTGCTGTCGGCTCTGCGAGGGAGAGGGGACATGATGGCCCTAAACACCACCCCTTTGATCAAACAAAGTTTTTGAGATCCTGGCGTAATGTTCAAGAGTGTACAGAAAAAGAAAAGGCAGCTCAGGAAGGGTGGGAGGCAAGAATGGGGACCAGTTCCCCAGTACTCCCTGCGAGGGGAAGAAGAAGAATGTCCTCCTTTGGAGGTGGTAGTGGAGGATGCTTCTACCCAGGACAGCACATAGGGTTTGATGGTGTGGGGAGAAGAAGGACTGGGGCAAATGTAAAAATTAGTAGATTGGGTTGTTTTCAAGGGGTGACCTAGAGGAACGGCCCCAAGGCTGATGGTCTGTGCTGAGAAGTACAGCTCTTGGGCAGGTGTGCTCCATCCTGCATGTCACCACCCTCCTTTCACAGAACTTCCTCAAGTGGGCAGCCATGAAGTTCAGTAGGCAATGGGAAGCCTTTGGAGGCGATTCAGTCAAGCTGGATTAATAAAAAAACCATGATGCAGTGAAAACACCCAATATTTAATCCAGGGTTGGCATATATCTTCCCTCGTTTTTAAAAAATCTGCTCGAATTGAATGTTGCTGTGAAAGAAGCGTAGGAGGTGCATAACACGCTCCCTGTGGGTGTTTCTGAGGGGAAGGTGATGAAGAAAGCTGTTCCTTCTCTTGTCTTCTTGATGAATCCTCTTTTGCACACTGCAGAGCTTGTGTAGTACAAGGTCTTTGGCATAGTTGGGAATTTCTGTGTAGAGTTTTGTTTAGCGAGGCAGTGGTGGGGTTACTTTCCTGAGCCCAGCAGATGATGGAGGCTAAGGTTTGCTTCATAAATTCACCTCAGATCTCACGTGTGACCTTGAGCAAATTAAAGCATAGCGCTGTAGTACTGTCAACACCAAGCCTTCATGCATTATAAATCAGTCCTATGAAAACAAATAGGTTGCCTAAACTATAATGAGATTTCAGAGAAAATGTCTTGGGGAGGATTTTTACTGGACTCTCGTTTTTGCCTTGTAAGCAATATAAACATCTTGTCTTTTCTCCTCCACAATTTCCAAAGTCAATGCAGAGATTCACAGTCATATGAAGCTAGAAGCTGTTGCTATAAGACTAAATTGCAGAAGTGGGCAAAAGTATTGCAGCATACATTGCACTGAAGAGCAATTGAAGTGAGCATTGAAGTATACATTGAAATATAGCGAAATGATGAGGGGAAGAAGAAGGCCATCAGCCTTACCCAAGTCTTGGTATCGTTCTATATGTCCTGGCCCAAGTGCTTCGCTCCCACAAGTAAAAAACAAAATAACTGGAATTCTGTGTAGAGACTTTTGGATTTACGTTGGTATTGATGAGGCCAAACTCATCATAGAGTGCATCTTAGTGTAAATAAGAAACATGCAGCAGGAGGTAATGGGAAATCAATTCCATTGTTTCCCTTTCCCATGAACTTTGGGTCTAATTCTCCTGTCATTTGTCCTTAGCGCAGTTGAAAAGCAGCTCAGCTGAATCCCTGAAACTGTCTTAAAACTGACATAAGCAGTGAATGTGTTAAGCTGTTGTGGACTGTATTGTTTGCATTGCTCCAGAGGGTTGTAGCTGAGTTGATGGACCATTGTGTTTTGTGTATTCATTTTTGTTATCCTTATTAAAAAAATAAACATTAAGAAAACAGGATGCAGACCACATTAAGAAGTCTTTCTTCTGCCCTCTGCTCACTTGAAAAACAAAATTAGAGAAATTTGGAAAAAGGATGGCATTGCAAAGCAGTAAAAAGATCAGAGAAAGTCTTAGTTAAAAGAAAGACAGAAGAAAGTTTAATGGCACTTATGGAACAGTGCAGGATTTCTGGTAGAATAAAAGAGAGGAGGACTTTGAAGCTTATGTTCAGAGGCTTGAATGTGATTTAAATTGCATTCTTCTGAGTACAGTGTGTCAGGACATCTTTTCCTTTAGGAGTCAGTGCAAGAGCTGGACCAGCTGCTTCTTGCTTCAGTTTTAACAAAACTAGTTCACCATTAAATTTGTGTCTTCATGTATTCTATATACATCTAAAATTTTTTGTGAGCAATAGAAACTCCCCAGCGTTTCATAGAATCGTAGAATCGTTTGGGTTGAAAGGGACCTTAAAGATCATCTAGTTCCAGCACTCTTGCCACATGCAGGGACACCTTCCATAGACCAGGTTTCAAATACTCTCTTACAGAGCTCTGGAAATGAGAGCAGTTTTGTGGCCTTTTCTCATCTCCATCTTATGTCCCAGCAATGCGGTCTGCAGGCTGAGCCTTGTCAGCAAAATGCAGGGCAGCAAAGTGCAGGCCCTGAGAAACAGGCAACCCTCAGGTGAGGTGTCAGTGTCACCCCACAGGGACGTCTGGGTCACGCTGTGGGGCAGGAGCTGAGCCTGGAGAAGCACTGTGCGAGCTGCCATGGGGCCAAGGCTGCCCTCCCCAGGGGCAAGCAATGACACCAGGGTGTGGGGAGGGCACGGGGGTCCCCGTGGGTCCCTTCTCTCATGTTGGGGCTTCAGCAGGGACTTCAGAGACACCCAGAGGGCTTGATAATCCAAAGGCTTTATTTAGGCATCAAAACTCTTGGCTTCTCATGAACAGGCATGTTGATATGTTTTAAATTGTTTTTGTATTTTCTCTTTCTTAGCAAACAAAATTCCATTTAACAAATGTATGTCAATTAGAATAAATTTTCCCGTTGAAGAAGGATGCAGCTCAAGCATTCTGTTGCACGTCTGCTGCTGGGGGCCGAGCCCACTGCGCTGGGTTGGCAGTGGGGAAGGGTCAGTACTCCTGCATCTCTAAGTACTTCAGATGCTCCTGCACCCAGGGCGCCTGGGGATTTGCACACAATGTCTTCCCCTTCTTGGTGACCAGGCTGCCGGGAGAAAAACAACGTTGGGGCAGTCAGCCCAGACAATGAGATGCTGCGTCTTGGTGGCAGCATCCCAGGTGTCCCTGGTTGTGCCCCCTTGCCCCTCACAGCCACCCTCGGACACACTTGGGGTGCAGCCCCAACCGACCGTCCCACCCCGACCCCCGGCAGTGTTTGGTACTCACATCACTGCTGGCTGGGAGCACTGGCTGCTGGTGGTGTAGGCAGAGGCGAGGAGTCTGCGTGGGATGGGGGTTCGCAGGAATGAGAAGCAGCAGGGGGTGGGGATGGTGCCTGTGGGGACAGAGAGACCACCCCAGTGAGACCCCACACTGTGGCAGAGGCTCTGCCTGAGCCTCCCAGGGGATTCACCATCACCCGTGCTGTATCCCCCCTGGGACACCCCCTGGAAGCCTCCATCCCTGAGGCTGAATCCCAGCTCTGGTGATGACCACCAGCTCCTTGCCCTGCCCATGGACATGAGGGACTGTCAGTGGGGACAGGGCTGTCTCCCGGGGAGGGACAGCAAACCTGGCTTTTGGGAGGATGCAGCAACGCGGGAGTCATCAAGCTGGGCCTCGGCTGGGGAGCAGATGGCCACGAGGAGCAGAGTGGCCAGGGCGACTGCAGGGACCTTCATGGTGCTGCGGGGGCTGAGGAAGATGCTAGTGAGGCTGGAGCTGGGGCAGCTGCAGGGATGTCCTCTGCACGATGCTCAGCCCCTGCTGCCGCTGCCCTCCGTTTATTCCCTGGCTGCTGGGTGGGCACAGGGTTTCGGGAAAAGCAAATGAGGGAAATTATGCAAGGGTCGCCTAGTTTCGCTGAGCTGGAGATGGCAAGGAAACCACAGAAGGGAAAGCGCCAGCCCTGGGGCTGCAACTTTCAGATTCAAGAGAGAACAAGTCCTGTGAGAAACAGCTGAGGGAACTGAGGTTGTTTAGTCTGGAGAAAAGGGGGCTCAGACAGGACCTTAGTGCCTTGCCTGAAAGGAGGTTGTAGTGGGGTGGCTTTCTGTCTCTTTTCCCAGGTAACCAGTGATAGGATGAGAAGAAATGGTCTCAGGTTGTGCCACGGGAGGTTTAGATTGGATATTAGGAAAAATGTCTTCACTAAAAGGGTTGTCAAGCATTGCCCAGGGAATTGGTTGAGTCACTGTCCCTGGAGACGTTTAAAAGATGTGTAGATGTGCTACTTAGGGAGATAGTTTAGTGGTGGATTTGGCAGTGTTACGTTAATGGTTGGACTTGATGATCTTAAGGGTCTTTTCCAACCGAAATGATCCTATCATTTTACTTTGTGACTCCATGATGCTCTGGGGGCCAAGGGAACCATGAGTGGGGCTGGAGCTGGGGTGGCTGCAGAGCTGTTCTCCACACGATGCCCGGCCCCTGTTACTGCTGCCCCCTTTTTGTCCCCCAGTTTGAAGGAAAGAAAATGAGTGCATCATACCAAGAAAATTATGTTGGCATCACCTAGTTTTGCTGAGCTGGAGAAGGCAGAAGGGGAAGTTACTTATCAAGAGCCAGTCTGGGGCACGAAGCTCCATGCCAGAGCTCCGAGAAAAATCAGGGCAAGGCCAGAAAAAGGAAAAAAAAGAAGGAAGTAGCAAGTTTTGCAGCTTTCTTTCTGAGTGTGCACTGGCAGGAGTGTTTGAGAATTACAATATATCCAAATCATAAATTTGTATTTTCCTAAATGTTTAACTAGACAACAGCGCAAGCCAAAGCCTGAGCTAGGTGACCCATAACTGTTCCAAAATTTATTTAATTACTGTAATATAATATACCTTTGTCTCTGCTGATAACATCCAACAGCAACAAATTATGCCCTACTACTCCTCTTTAAGCTAACACAAGTTGTAAACCACCACTGATAATCTCCTTAAACACCCCCTTTCTTGTCTGTCCTGGTAAAAAGAAGGGCATGTCCACTTGTCTTTTGGTTCTAATGTAAATGAACGTAGAACATTTTTATGTAGGGAAGGCAAATAATTTTGAAACTCCATTATCTGTTTTTTTGGGTTTTTTTTAATTTGTTTGTTTGTTTGTTTGTAGGCTGCTTTTGAGGTCAGGCTCCCTTTTAGTTAAGATAGAAACTATCCTTTGACTGACCTTTTATCTTCATTGAGATTATATAATAAATAGATCCTTTGTGCTTATCTAAATTGGACAAGTGTGTCCACTTTGACTGACCTTTTATCTTCATTGAGATTGAGACAACTATAAAAACAATAATAATTGGCTCTTGGCCGTAATACATTTGTGTAGCTATAGTCCCATTCAGGAAGATTTACTACAAAAGTCAATGAAAGTTTGAGAATGACAAGAATTTATGAATCTTAAATTTCTTGATTAAGATTAATTATTGGGCAACTATTACACCTATGCTATAACTATCTTTTCCTCATTTAAAAGAAGATTAATCTAGATTCCAACACTATTTAGTGCTTTAGTAAATTAACCACATCATAGCAGATATCTTGGACAAGTCAGTCAAAGACTAACTTCCTTCCTTATCCATTTGGAAGATAAACATTAGTATAATGCCTTTTTAAAGAAGATAGGAGCAAACAAGAAAGATAATCTCATGTACTGTTTAATTTAAAAGTTTCCCGAGTTATAGATATCTGTACAGTTGCTCTCATGTATGAAGTCAAGCATTTTCTACTTTCTGGTTGTTTTTTTTTTAACTTTGGTTTTCTTTTTTTTTTTAGCAGCCTGCCCTATACCTATTAAAACCTCACAACATTATGATAGAGAAGATTAATCTAGATTCCAACACTATTTAGTGCTTTAGTAAATTAACTACATCATAGCAGATATCTCGGACAAGTCAGTCAAAGACTAACTTCCTTCCTTATCCGTTTGGAAGAGAAACAATAGTATAATGCCTTTTTAAAGAATATAGCAGCAAACAAGAAAAATAACCTCAGGTACTGTTTAATTTAAAAGTTTCCCGAGTTAGAGATATCTGTACAGTTGCTCTCATCTATGAAGTCAAGCATTTTCTACTTTCTGGTTGTTTTTTTTTTTAACTTTGGTTTTCTTTTTTTTTTTAGCAGCCTGCCCTATACCTATTAAAACCTCACAACATTATGATTATTAAATATTACAGAGTAGAAATATACTCATCTCCAAATAGTCAAGGTTTGCCTGTAGCTTCATATGAGATGCCACAGTACCTTTGCATACCCAGGTCACTCCTGGTACATTGCCTGTTTCTGACAGCGGGTGAATAATACCTTTTTGATGTTAACCACTCTAGATCTCACATCTTGACTTCTTGCTTTGGATTTATGTGTTAAATTATAGAGTTTATCCAAGGTTGATCTAAGATTACTGGACATCCTCTGTCCATGGGTTAAAATCAGCTGTCTGCAAGAGAGTATACAGGCTTCCAAAATGACAAGATTCAGTCTCAAAGAAGTATAAGAAATGTGATGGGAAGGCAAAACTGGCTTGAAAGCATCTGTCTATCCATTTTAATGGTGGCAGTAAACCAAAGCTCTGTATGGAATATATCACAGAAGTTAGCTGCAGCCTGATCTTCTGAAGAATGCCACAAATGTACCTTAACACTATGTATAATCCTGCCGTCTCTACTTGTGTCTGCAGGATTTTATTTACATTTTGGATTAGATGTTTATGGTTTAAAATCTTTTTCGCCCCATAAACATCCAGGTCCATGCTGGTAAAAGATTCTTGGGTTAATGTCAGGAATAGATAGCACAGGAACATTCCAAATCAAGATGGCTTTGGAGGTGCCTGATTGTCTTTGCTTGGTCAGTGACACAAAACATTCTCTGTGTCTCGTGTCTGCCTCTCAGTGTGGTTTTTGTAAGGATGGAGGGATCCTATTTCTTCTTTTACTGTCTTTTAATAACAGAAGAGGAAGCATCGTTCAGGATCTTACACATTATGGTTTACAGAGATGCAGAGTTCCTTATACTCACTTTATTCACTTTATATTAAAGAGCATTTATTCAGGTGTCCTTTAGGTTTTCTGGGACAAAATAGTCAGAGATACTTATCTGGACTAACAGAGCTGAAATCTCTCATCAAAGACACAATCCCGTTTTTCAAGGGATTAAGCCTGTACCTTCACTGTGTGCTGTTCTGTAAATCTCGGCCCAAGGTCAGAGTCAGCTTTTAGACATCAATCTTGACTACTTCAGCAGGGCTAACAGGAGGTGGATTCCTCTGATATTCCCTTCAGGAGTCTACTATAGCTCACTGCGATGGAAAGTCACAGTTGTCTTAAAAGCACTTTACACACTTATTCCTCAGACGGCCTGGAGGATTACAGCTGTACCTGACACAGCCTTGTAAGCCTGCCTTCTCCCTGCAAACCCCATTTTCAGCTCCGAGAAGACGACTCTGTCACTGCATCTGTCCCCGTGATTCTCTGCATGGGTGACTCGCAGTTCCCTGTCCAAGCCATCCAGAAAATGTGTCCTTTGCCAACCTCAGAATTTTTTAGGTATACTTAGTTCCAAGTCTGAATCATAGGAAAGCTACTCGGTTGTAGTGTGGATGAAACCTTCCCCCCTCGCCCCCCACCAGATTGTTCCATTTAAATAGTGTTAAGCTATGTAGCTGTTTTCTTTTCCTGAAATAGCTTCTTTATTTTCTTTGGATTTAATTCTGTGCATTCAAGCAGAAAGTTAAACAATGTCAAACTGAAGAAAATGGATCACATAACATGCAGAAAAGGTGAACTGGGGAAATGTTGATTATTGCATTAACTTCTTACCTGTGTCCTTACCAGGGGAAATGTTGATTATTGCATTAACTTCTTCTTCTTCTTACTGAATTACTGTAATATCAGAGAGAATTAACTAGCTTGGAATTTATTTTTACATATGTATTCTCATAAAGTGGATCCTTTCTTCTATGCACTTAATTTTAGTGAAAGAAAAAGCAAGTGTTGGTATAATATTATTGCAAAACATCTCTCTGGCGTAGTTAATTCTCATAATTGGTAACAGCTCTCTATTGCCATTATCTTACTGAAATTACTTCCTTAGCTAAACTGTTTAGGGCTGATGCTTATCAGTGTATGAAAACCAGCTCACAAATTCTGCCCTTGTAGGAATGATCCTTGTGGCTGGTTCAAGTAAACCTTGACTTGTTTTGGGAAGAAACAAAGTATTCATTGGCATTCTTTTTTGTTTAGTGCTCCTGACTACAGCTTTAGATGTCTTCTGACTGCTGTGGTGAATCCTGTGTTCTTTCTTACCCAATTCCCAACACATCTTTTTATAGGTTCTTTCTTTCTTCATAAGTGTGGAGGAGATAATAAGGATTTTTTAGGTGGAATCACAACTTTCTAAGTTTTCCTTCATAATACATGCTTTTATCCCTTTATTTTCCTCCCATTCCTCCTTTATTGCATATACAGCATTCAAACTTTACCAAGCAATACATATACCTTTCAAAACTTATCTGAACTTCTGTCAGTGTTTTCCCAGATGCACAAGGAAGAGTTGCATGTCACAGTTCTGCATTATTCAGATGTTACTCGGTATCTTTTTTATGTCTATTGAGACATACAGAAAACATTTTATTTTCTGGTGTGTTTGTTATAAGAACCCGTGAAGAGAAGCGGTGATGTTTTTCAAGTTAGTGTTATATGGGGGATTGAATTTTTGGTGAGCAATCTTCAAAGGTGGCTTGGCATTTTAGAATGTTACAAGCTCTGCAATGAAAAATTGAGAGTATAAAAGGAGTTGTTTTCATTCCCATTAGCA